CTCTCTCTCTCTCTCTCTCTCTCTCTCTCTCTCTCTCTCTCTCTCTCTCTCTCTTTTCCTGTATAATCACTTCACCAACACACAAACAGTGCAAACTCTTACACAAACGAAAAGGTCCAAAGGGAAACTTGAAGCTCCAGGGTCTTTCTTGGTTAAATAAATATAAAAAAGATCAAATCAAATAAAACCCGATTTTCCTGCTGTGAAGTTGCAGTTTTTAATTATTAACTACCAATTGATGGTTTACTAGAAGCTGTTTTTTATRTACTTATTTTCAACTGTTTGTCTTATTTCTTTGTGTTCGACAGAGAGGATTTACCAAACAGAACTTCATAGATCCCAGCTTGTAATCTACAGAAAACCTCAATCAAGTCCCAGCGTGAGAGGAGACTGTAACCATGGGAAGTGTTGGAACGACTGTCCACAGAAGATGATTCATGAACATGGAGCCACTGAAACCCAAGATTCCCCTCGTTCTGGTGGCCTGGGGGCTGTAATGTTTGTAATGCTTTCACTGATATGTTCCATGTGCTTTTATGTCTTTGTGACACTGATGGATTCTCACTAACGAACCAACAGTGAAGCTGAAGGTGTGTGTATGTATGTGTGTGTGTGTGTGTTTTTGTGTGTGTCAAAGTGCCTCTAACATTTGTAGCCTTTACTTAATGTTGTACATACTTAAAACCTTCTGGTTTATTTTGACCCTGTGATGTGGTTATGGTTGTGCTGTCACATTTCTTTAGTAACTGAACAAGCAGAGTTGGTGTTTTTTCAGATTGATGCTGAGAATCTTTAAAGTGCCTGTGACGTGCCCATCCATCAAACACAAAAAATCATCAGTGATTTTTTGATGATGATGATGATGATGATGATGATGATGATGATGATGAAGAAATTAAGAAACTAATACTAAGTTCTTTTTTCTACTGAAGTGAAACATTTTTTCAAAAAATCAAAGATAACATTTTTATATAAGAAATCTTGCCTAAAATGTGATTCTACACATTTTGTCACATAACTGCATATTTTCTTTTGAACTTGGCTCAGCCAAAGTGAAACAGGAAGTGACATCAAAGGGGAACTCTATAGGAAAGCAAACTCTCTAGTTTTTGTTTATTGAAACAGTATTATTTGAACTCCGACTTGTCTTCATCTCTCNATTTTCTTTTGAACTTGGCTCAGCCAAAGTGAAACAGGAAGTGACATCAAAGGGGAACTCTATAGGAAAGCAAACTCTCTAGTTTTTGTTTATTGAAACAGTATTATTTGAACTCCGACTTGTCTTCATCTCTCKGATAGTGACTCAAAATAATCTAAAGAAAAACGAAATACTTCTCTACAGTCTGTGTCTTTAGCCATTTTATCAATGCTCTGTTCCATGCAGACGTTCCCCTTTGACATCACTTCCTGTTACTTTACAAGCAAATATCACAACAACTGTTCATCTCAGCAGTGGGAAATTATTTTTGCAATATGTTATTAATGTTATCTTTCAAAAAATGCCTTTATATTTATTTTTAAAATTTCATGTCACAGGCACTTTAATGTTATCATGACTCCTGCTGTTAGCTTTAGCTGAGGATGGTTAGCCAGATGAAGTCTGACAAAGCAAACAGCTGTTCCTACATGTTCATCATAAACTAACTGTTAATCAAACATTATTCAGYTCACTTTGGCCCTAAATAAATAATTTATTTTGTTATAACTTCATTAGCATGAAAAATAGAGATACCTTTTCATCATCGCACATCTGCTTTAGTAAAGATCTGGTAGATGTGTGATCTTTTCTTTTGGTTACAAAGTGAAACTGGTTCAAAAACCAGTTCATTGGGTTTGGATAGTGTAGTTTGAGTTAGCTTTTAAAGAACAATATAAAAAATGAGTTTGAAGCATTTTTACCACTGACAGCACAACATCTGGGAGGTTTAGATTTGGAGTTAGAATTTTAAAAAAAAACTTTGATAACTGGAATTACATGAAAGTGCCTTTGAAAGCTGATGTAATGTTTCAGATTTAAAAGAATCCATGTTAATAAAAGGGCTAGGTGTAATTAGTGGATCTGTCTGCAGTCCTGGTGACACTTTGTGAGCTTCTGTAAGTCRTTCTGAAGCACTTCAGTAGTGCCTAATGTTAGTCTGATAATGCCGCATTGTGTATTTTGAAACTAATCCAGTGGAGAAAAAGTAGATAAAATAGTGTTTAAAAAATAACCATTTSGAATTTGAATACAATTTTGAAAAAAATAAAATAAAACATGGCGCAAGTGTCTGCATGAGTTTGTTTAGCTGCCTTTGTTTTTACTTGTATCAAGCCTGAAAATAAAATGTTTCAAAGGATTTTACTTCCAGTAATTGTGTTTAAAAGAAAAGCATCTCAGCAGCTTTCTACCTAACAAAACTTTAAACTGTTCCCATTAGATTTTGATCCTGTGTCCAATAAGAAAGATTTTATTTTCTGTCTTCAGAGGGACAGACAAGTTGGACAGACTGTGTGACCTTCAGACCTTTCAGGTTTTTCTGACAGAACATTACAGACCAGCTGGAGCCTTGAGCCGCTAATCTTGCAGGAATGCAGAGAGGCTCAAAAACCACCTGAAACTACACAAGAAGTAGAGAGGCTTTGAGATAAGAGTGCTCCGTACAAAGAAAATAATCATCATTACTCCACTTTAGTCAGCTCTGACTTAAAACATGCATGTTGAACAAGAGGCGAGGCAGGATGGATGGTCTGGTTTCAGACTTTTACCTGATTTTAGGTTTCTCTCACTCTTTCAGTGTTTTTTTGATGACTTAAGTTCTACAGCATGATTCATACTTCAGTGACCCCAAGAGTCTTTTCACTATATTATCTGTGTGAGCAAACCTTTATTTTAGACATCTTTATTCACCCTTGAAACTCTGCATAAGATGAAGTGAGGATGGACAGAGACGTTCATCCACTGAGGATGAAAACAGGAAGTCAAAATGTGTCAACATTTTACCCATTTACAGGAATATATAAATAACTTCTGCAACACTAAATTTAGCCAGTTATAGCTTTGGAATTTATTTAACGCATTTTTTTAATGGATGCCTCACGTTAGGTTTATGGTGTTAAATATGGCATGTTTCTCCTCAGTCCTGGGGTGTGTACATCTTATTTGCAGTAAATGATGTATCAGGTGAGGATTGTGCAGCGATGACGTCAGCAGCAAACTGATGGTGATACATCTGCTACAAAGTGACCAGGAGTTCACGAAGACATTTTTTGTCTCTGACAGAACCTCAGAAATCTCAGAGGACTGGAAGGTTTGGACCTCAATCACACAAAACCATATAAACTTGTAACACTGCCAGTGTACAAAGCAGTTCAGAAAGTTTTTTTAAATAAAGTACAGTTTAGGAAAACAAGATAAAACCAAAAAGTTAATTATGAGTTCTGGACACCTTCCATCCATTATCTACAGCTTGTTCCAGAGTCGGGTCACCGGCTTTCACTGACCTGAAACTCAMAATTGTTTTGGGACAAATGTTTGTCATTAGGTTCACTGACCTGTGGAATGACAAATTCCCTTTAGCTCTCCAGTTTTGTCAAATTTCTCACCGACTGCAGCCAATAAGCTCGATCTGACTGACATGTACCAGTGATGAAGAGAATTGATCAGCTGGCCAATCAGTTCTGCACTTTCTGCTCTCTGCCGCCCTCTTKTGGCCTGAAAGGTTTTACTTCATTTTGATTGTTTCAGAACTTAGTTAATAAAAGTGAATCAGAATGATCTGACTTCTACGGTAGTATGTTTCCACTGCAGCAGAATAAACCAACAATATCAAAGTCAACAACACTGGAATTTAGCTTATGACGAAAAACCTTTTCTTTCAAAATAATCAGCTGCAACAAAATTCTCAGGAAACTATAGAAGCCCATTTCCCCCACCCTGATAAAAAAATAAAACTTGTATCTCATAATTATGACTTAGCTATCTCATAATTATGACT